GCCCATCCCAATCCGTAACCCCAACCTCAGAACCATTCAAAATACAGTGTTGATAGCATGATCTGACTGGTTGTGTAAAAAGTCAGAACACTGGCTCTAACAGTTTATCAATCTAACAGTTTATTGAATATCTTTAGCATGGTAATTTGCTGTAAGATGTGAAACTGATGATTCTTTGTGCTGGCAGAACCTGTCGCCACTGTTGTTTATCCCATGTCGAGGTGTTGTGCCTGCGTTTAACAGATTTGACCTTTTTGAAGTTTAATTCCACATTAGCCTTGATTTACCTCCATAAATCCACTCCAGCCTCACGGTACGCTGAACTCTCTGCGCCCTTTTCCCATGTGGTAGACTTTAAACGATCGTATTTAAATCTCGTAACTATGTAAATATGAGCCTGGAACCAGATCCAGCATCTTTATCCAATGAACCTGACAATATTTGGAGCCGTCATGCCATTTTCAGCAGCTTCCCCTACGATTTTGCACAAGGGAACGATGTCTTTGCCACATAGCATAATTGAGGCCAACTCATTCCGGTGAGATGGAAAATAAATAAATAAATAAATAAATAAGCAAGGAAGCAGAGACGGTCTCAGCGAAATGCACGCCGATAGATTTGTCAGTTCTCGGAAATCCTGCGACGGGGGTGACTTTTGCAGTGAGGCAATTCCAGTGTAATAAATTCTAGCAGGGGGAATGAATTTAATCCTCCCCAGCTCCCTCTCTCACTTCCTGCACCCCACGCCCATCATCCTCTGCGCTCTTCCTCACTCGCAGTGATAAATGAGTCAATTATCGACGGTTGTGCGCAGTCAGTGAAGGAGAGCGGATGTGCCGTTATTACCTGTTGCGGCGCCGTAATGTTGCAGTATTAATCATATTCTAATTTTCCCAGGCCCTCCCGCACGCTCGCATAAATCTGACGCCTGCAAACAAGTCAGTGTTTGTGTGAGTGTGAAGAGCTGAAATACAGCCAGGAGATGAGTGTGTGTGCTGTTCAATCATAGTGGGTTCACTCTGGGTTTGTCGGCTGTCTGTCTGTCCTTGTGTCAGTCTCCGTTTTAGTCTAATTTGTCTGTCTGTTGATCGATTGTGACTAGATCTATCTTTATCTTGCTTAATCTATCAGTCTGTCTGTCTTCATTTTCTTTTATTGCTTTTATCTTTAGCTCTACATAGTTGTGTGTATGTCTTCTATCTCTGTGCGCTGTTTTATTTCTATTTGTCTCATTTCTTTGGCGGTCTCTGTGTCTCTTTAAGTTTGCCTCTATTTGTTGTTCTTTTTATTTGTCTTTCTCTCTGCCTTTGTCTCTTCTCTTCTGTCCATGTTGTTGTATTGCAGCTGTTGTTTTTTTTTATTTGTCGTTTTCCTCGTCTGTCTTGTTTTTATATCTGTGTTGTATTGTTTTTGCCATATACGTGTATTTCAGTGCACTTTGTACTTTTTCTTCTCCAGTCTTTGTCTTCTTCAGTCTTTCCCTTTGTCCTATTTTCTTGACTTTTTAGCTGTTTCTGTTGTTGTCTTTCTAAGACTATATCTACACCAATGCAACAGCAATGTTTAGGCCTCTCATGATTAGGCATGGGCCGGTGTAAGATTCTGACGGCATGATAACCTTGAATAAAAATATCACGGTACTGTGATTACTGCTTTTAAAATATATATATTTTTTAAATGTCTGGGTAAAAAACTAAAACTTTTTCCCCTTGTTAGCACAATGTATTTTATTTTGAGAAACATTCAAAATATTTAGGAAGAATAAACATGTCAGGCTAAATTAATTATTGACTTCTGGTGTCTTCACTTGTTTCAAAAAGAGATTTTTTTTTAACAATTTAAAACGGCATCTTTAGATATCTTTTCTGCTGAAGATACTGCTGTCCTAAAAAAACCTAAATAAAAAATCATACACATCGTAGGAACGGTATTGCAGAAGATGTTGACTGTTTTAAAACCTTGACTTTTTCAAACCGCGGTATATCTTGAACACGGTTATCGTCTCATGCCTAGTCACGATAAGGATTTTTTGTTGTGCGATATATTGTCACAGTTGTTGTGATGAGCGAAATTATTGTCATTTTTAGATTATTTTATGCCACTGATTTTATAATGAATACATAACGGCAAAATAATGCAAATAGCCAATAACGCTTTAAAATACTCAACATTCTTAAGGTTGTTTTGATTTAATAATTTAATGTTAAAAAGTTAAATGTCAATATATAATGGCTTTACCATTATTTGTGAATTTGTAAATCTACATTGCAATGGCAAAAATTAGTGAGATCACCTGCAAGTATTGCACGATAAGTAAATATTCTGATTATTTTGACAGGCCTAGTGATGTTGTAGGGCTGGGCAATTTGGCCTAAAATCTAAATTTTGATTAATTTAACATTTTAGCTCGATTACGTTTAATGAACGATTCTTTCATTTATTTATTTAAAATTTTTGCCCTCTCTGTGCCACCCGCATTCGTCAACCCTACCAAGCTGACCAATCACAGAGCATGCGCTTGACGTGTAGTTAAATATTTTTGAGAGGCAGTCACGGCTAGGGCTATGTAACCGTGTGAAGCCTGCGCCAGACCATTTCCTGTGCTCAGTGCAGAAGTGTAAACAGAGCGGGGTCAGCCCTGCGATGTTACACCGAACAAAATGCAACCATGAATGGAAATATTTTTCCCTTGTTTTAAACGTTTATACCACGTTTACACCCTGTTTTCAAAGCAATCTGCTTTCACACATCTACAAAAATGTCCACTAAATTACTTGTACCAGGCCACTATTTGGTGCTGTAACCTTGTTAGTAAACAGTACCTGTAGTGAAGTGACGATGTGTTGTTGGCGGGTCAGCACTGGTGTGTGTAATATGCAGTGTGTGATGTGTCTCCACTGTTGGTTGTAATATGAAGTAAATCCACAAATTAGCAAAAAAAATGGTTGTGTTGGCAAACACTTGAGCAACAACACTAACGGCCATTTCACACGGGGCTTCAGCGTCAACGCTTAACGGAGGGCGTGCCTGAAGTTGGAACTGACATGATCGGCATAGCAGTGTCAGCCAATGAAATTAGTCCGCAATTAGCTACTGTCTGAGCTGGGGTATTTGCATAAAGCAATCTGATTGGCTGACGTTTCTGTTCGCACTTAAATTGAGAAATTTCCAACTTTTTCAGCGAGCAATGCCTCTGGAACGACGCCGGTGGATCTACAGTTCAGTTCGACAACACTTGACGTCACCCATTCAAAGTGAATAGGAAGTGTTGATGATGACACCCCTTATCAATGGGGCGTAACATGTACTCCACAATTGTGTATTTGTTTGCCCCTGCCTTTAATCCACACCTCCATAAGCACATACTATGATGTCATCGTTTTTGAAAGCTTTCACTTTCACCTGTTTTCAGATGTATGCATTTTCAATCACAAAAACGCTGTAGTGGTGAAAACGAACAGGCAAAATGCATTAAGGTTCCTGTTTTTGGCTGAAAAAGGTCCCCATCTATCCTTCTGTTTGCCTTTTCTGTTTGTCCATTTGACCTTTTAACTTGTATTCGTCTTATTATATTGATTAGGTATCTGTATATACAAGTATCTAAATTAAGTATAATTTAAGATCTATATATATATATTTATGTTGTCTTGATTATCTGACGGTGTTCAATTTGATCTTTGCTCCTTCCTTATATACATGTCTGTTATCTACAGCAGGGAAATAAGTATTGAACACGTCACTATTTTTCTCAGAAAACATATTTCTAAAAGTGCCGTTGACTTGAAATTTTCCCTGGATGTTGGTAACAACCAAATAAATTCATATATGCGAAGAAAACAAATCTAATTAGTTCACAAATGAAGTTGTGTAATAAAATGACACAGGGAAAAAGTATTGAACACATGAAGAAAGAGAGGTGTAGAAATCTCAGTGGTTATTCAGGAACCCTCTGCCCTTCGTCACTGTAAATTAATATTAGCTGCTTCAGTCCAACATCTACATTAGCAGCATGATGAAGATGGACATTTGAGCAAGACAATAATTCAAAACAGAGCCAATGAATTGCTCAACACATGCTTTGTTCATCTTTCTGTGTTTTTCTTGCTTGCCTTGTCTTTCTGTCCTTGTTTTTTTATTCTGTGCTCTTTGGTTTGACTTATCAGACTTCTATATTTCTTTTTCTATATGTATCTGTTGATCCACATCTCTGCATCTTTGTTTATATTTGTGTCTTTTTCATATCGCTGTGCCAAAATGCATCTGTCTTATTAATTTTCTTTATTATCTGTCTGCCACATCTGCCTTGGCTTACTATGTATCTGATTGTTTTATTTCTATTCATTGTTTTATCTTTATGCTTTCTATCAGTTTCTGTCTTTCATTTTTTCATCTTCTCTTTGTCATTTGTTTATTTCTGTCTGTCTATCCGTCTATATATCCGTCTTTCTGTCTGTCTGTCTGTCTGTCTGATTAGCTGCCTGTCTTTCGATCTCCATCCATCCATCCATCCATCCATCCATCCATCAATGCAATATATATAATCAAATATAGTGCTTTAACATTGTGCACATATAAACAAATACAAAAAAAGAATGAGAAAAAAATGAAGACATAAGTATAATTCAAGCAACCCCTCACAGCATCAGCGTCTGGTTGTTCATTTACAATTATATTTGGCTTTGGAAGTAATTTATGAATGGACACCCCATGGTTGTGAACTTTTACCGTTTAAATTAAGTCTTATTTTTTCAAACTAAGAAAGTGCAAAACATCATTGGTCCACTGTTTAAAAGATAGGGGAAATGACAGTTTCCAATTAAATAGAATCAAGCGTCTTGACAAAAGTTGAGCTACGTTTTAAATGATCATTGTCTCTTTTGAATCATTCACCTCCACTTATTATGAATAAATAAAACGACATATCAGAGCACCAGAACAGTCCATCAGAATTTTATACTCGACCAATCCAACCAAACATCTCTTTCTCTCTTTCTCTGCAGTTTGAAGTTGGAGTGTGAAAAGCTGGCCACGGAGAAGACAGAAATACAGAGACATTATGTCATGGTAAGACAAACACACACACACGGCAACTTAGTTTTGCATCACAAGCGACACACATCCAAACAGCAGACAGCATCTTCCTTCAGCCCTCAATCAGAAGTCCTTCAAACGCAGCTCATCCATCACAGAGAATGAGTTTTCAGAGCCGCTGCCATGTGCCTCAGTGCCCACAGATATGGCAGCTATGTGCGGCTGGCATGCCATTTGCTCTTGGCAGACGGCTTAACCCCTTTTCTCTGTCCGTTTTCTTTCTCTCCCCCCTTTTTTTTCTTCTTGGCTCATAATTTTTTTAGTGTGGGAGTCGCCTAGCAACACCGTGGGCTCTTGGCAGTGCTGGTGAATACAACAGGCAGCTGTCAGGCCGGCTTCTTTCTTTGCCAGGGTCTTTCTATCCCTCCGTCTCTGTTGTGTTTTTACCCTTTTCTATCAGCCTCTCCTTCGCTTTTCCACTTTATTCTTGCTGCTTAATTAATTTACAATATTTTGACTCTTTCAGGCCAGTCTTTAGCAAGCTAGCTGCAGGGAGTTGTTTACTTAAAAGTCAAACTGTTTACTCGCCCTCACAGTGTGCTGTATTTTCTGTATTTGCCATAAAAAAGGGTGTTACACTTGTATTATAAAAGTGAGATTTATTTCTTAATATGCTTGTCATATAGTTTTTTAATGTAAAATGTAATCTTTAAAACATGACATGTTGCGAGTTCTTAATTGATTGAATGTGCTTTTGTTGAACCCATGAGTCTTATTTTTAATACTATCATGTTTAATTGAGGGGTGGCACGGGGGCTCAGTGATTAGCATTGTCACCTCACAGCAAGAAGGTCGCTGCTCTGGTTTTTAAAGACATGTGCTATAGGTGAATTGGGTAAACAAAATTGGCTGTAGTGGATGAGTGTGTGTGTGTAAATGAGTGTATGGGTGTTTTCCAGTACTGGGTTGTGGCTGAAAAGGCATCCGCTGCATAAAACATATGCCAGAATAGTTGGTGGTTCATTCCATTGTGACGACCCCTGATAAATAAGGGACTAAGCTGGAGGAAAATGAATGAATGTTTAATTGAAGGACTCATACAAAAATAAAAACAACATTACCCATGATGCTGTAGTGGTTAGTTTTGCTCCGCCCATTCTACTGAAATGCTATGAATGACATAATTAAATATGTCACAGTACTGTACTGAAATATATATGTATATAATAGGCTTGCTTGGTTTTGGGACTTGTGGAGCTTGAATTTACTCTTCAGTGTTTCAACTTTCAGCAGCTAAAATTCAACCACACTGAAATGAACTAAACTTAACTTCAGCTCTGAAAACTGGCCTGACACAGTTTCAATTTACCAGAACTTTTACGTTAAGTTGCTTTGACACAATCTACATTGTAAAAGTGCTATAAAAATAAATACGAATTGAATATATATATATATATATATAAGGCATATTTATTACTAAAATGTTTTGGTAAACAATAGCTTTACCTACATTAAAAGCTTTTGATTTGATTGTTCCACTTGCAGTTCCTCATTGTATTGTTGTTCATTACATTATTTAGGTACACAGTGTTTGGTTAAATTTTCATATCTGACCCTGGACCACAAAATCAGTCATAAGTTTCCTTTTTTTTTACAGATCGAGATTTTTACACTGTGAAAAAAATTTTACTGAAATTTACAGAAATTTACTGTAAAATAACGTCCGTTAAATAACATAAATTTACTGTAAAGTAATGACCGTTGAATTTACTGTAAAATAATGACCGTTAAATTAGAGAAATTTACTGTAAGTTTCCGCAATTTAACGGCTATTATTTTACTATAAAATAATTGACGTTAAATTACAGAAATTTCCTTAATTTCCTTGTTTTCTTTTCTGGCATCACAGCTGCCAGAAAAGAAACAAAAAACAACAGATTTATTTACAGTGTACATCACCTGAAATCTAAATGATTTTCCATTGTGTACTTGGCTAATATAGGACAATATTCGGCCAAGATGCAACAATTTGAAAATGTGTAATCTGAGGGTTTCGAAAAATCTAAACATTTAAGAAAATTACCTTTTTAAGTTAATAATTTATATTATCGTAGCATTTTCCTAAAATGTCTTTATGGGACATGCATATATAATATCCTATTGATTTTGGCATATAATCTATTATTTTGACCCAAAAAAACATACTGTTGGCTATTGGCAAAAATTAAGCCACGCGTCAGAAGGTCACTGGTATTATATTTGGCTTCAAATCAGTTTTCCTAATGTTGTGATTTCTCCTTGTAGTGGTTTGGTTCAAGACTTAAGCCGCCTTTTCACTGCACACGACATCTAGACACGACTCTCGGAATGCACCCCCTTGTGGCAGTCGCACAGTATTTTCAGTGTTGTTGTGCACCATGGGAGAGAAGCTGATTCTCACAGTGTGTAAAATAAAGGAGTGCAACAGCAAGAGCCCTTAATCTCTGTGCATTTACATGGTTTAATGAATGAATGAATACTAGAAACTCATAGACTGCTAAAATATTGGAGGGAATGTGGAGACAACATAAAAAAATATATATTTTTAATACTTACTTACATTAAGAACAGAAATGTTATTTTAAAATAAACTTTTCATAATTCAAAAACTAACCAAATAAACTCCTATTTCTCATCTCGTGGGCACGGACCTGCTTGTACAACACTGAAATATATCACATCCGGTCGGCCGGTCGCATATGGTCTAGTTGCAGGAGTTCAATATTTCAACGGATCTGCAGCTTAATTCAGATTCGAATTTTCCGCATACGGAGATGATCAGAACTCCATGCAGCTCCTGGACTGCTCTCCATTGGAAATGATGACTTCCGGTCTGTCGCTTGTCATTTAACAAAGACTTGTTAAAATCCCTTTGGGAAAAAAATTTGCTGAAGCTGTATGTGTATTTGATTTGATTTCTTAAACACTGCTAGTTTCAGTTTTACTTTCATTTCTGGTAGTTTTTGTTTGTATTCCTGTTTTTCTCTTTTTGGTGTGACTGATTGCTTGACAAGAACAGTTTAAAGACTCTTAGAAATAACAGCATACCACTTTAGAATAAATTGATGGTTCTGTAATAGCACGACTCTATGGATTCTTATAAACTTTAGGTGACTCAAGATTGAGGAGCAGTGTGTCCTTGCAAGATCTGTGGTCACATTTACTTTCATACATCACTACACTATTACCTGAATTTTTGCTAATGCTGTAATTAATTTGCAATAAACCAGCTATGTTAATTAGCTTATAAGTGGCATCATATTTCTGATAATAAAAAAGCAACTTAATTTTTATTTCTAGTTTGTCATTTTAATGATGTCATTTTCTTTTTCAGTACTATGAAATGTCCTACGGCCTCAACATAGAGATGCACAAACAGGTAAGATTGCTGGTTTCCTTTCAAACTACTCTCAAAAATAATATATTTATGAATTAAAATTCATACATCCACAAAACAATTCATAAATGCAACACAATTCATGAATTCACAAGTAAAAATCATAAATATTTTCGCCAAATGAGCTGGATTTGTGTGTTTTTGAATGGTGTTTAGAACTGACAAATTGTATTTGTTTATTTTTGAATGGTGTTTGGATTTGATGAATTGGATTTGTGTAATTTTGAATTGTGTTTCGAATTGACAAATTGGATTTGTGTATTTACGCATTGTTTTGAACTCACACATTGGATTTTGTAAATGTGAATTGCATTGTGAGTGTATGAATTATATTATGTAAATGTATAATTTTTCAGACTGATCTGACTCCATATTTCTTTTCTGGGATTATTTGAATTAGCGGTTTAATTGCAATCCTGCTACATAAGGCAAAAGTCTTGTAGACGCTTGGTTATGTAAGAAAACGTTTTACTGATGGGTCTTAAATGCAATTTTCTTGGGTCTGAGTTTCATAATAATCATTACATGCTTTTTATGAGATTTGCATCAAGTAGTGTTTCTATACAAAATAACATCGCAACCTACAGGCCTGGCATGCATATAGCAGCGTTTCTAATCATTTTAGCAAATCATGTGAATTGACATTATTAATCTCACAAGAAAACATAACTAATTTACATTTTGGTGGAAAAGTGACTCTTTCGTACGATTTAATTCGTATGAAAACGTATGATTTAAATAAATTTTATACATTTTTGTTTGCAGATTTTGTTTTTATTAGGATAGAAAAGAATATTAGGGTGTTTTCATACCTGCCTTGCTTAGTTCGGTTAAATCGCACTAGAGTTCGTTTTCCCTCTTGGTGCTGTTTGTTTGGGCAGGTATGAATGCAGCAATCGCACTCAAGTGCACACCTTGAAGAGGTGGTCTCGGTAGGCTTTCAAGCGAACCGCTCCATGGTTGTGGTGAGAACATGATCCGAACTAGAACAGACCCAATTGCCTTGGTTTGTCTAAAGTGATGTATACATACTATGAACAGCAACACAATCAGCCAGCGCAGTCGTCCCTCCATAAGAAAAAAGTGGTTTGTCTGTCGGTTTGTTTTCCCCGCACGTTAATTCTGACCAATCAAAAAGCAGTTTAGGAAATACCTTCAATAACATCTGGCCAATGAGGTATGTGGATTGTCACATGACTGCATTTTGTTTTGTTTTGTTTTCAACTGGTTCAGACCAAAGCAATCAGTGTGGTGTGAAAAACCCAAAAACAGAAAAATGCTACAATCTATCATTTGTTGTTCTTGGTCTGGGCGGAATTGGGAAAGGTCCACGGGCTGCTATTGGAGCCAAAGCACAATGTCAGGACTAACCACAAAGTTTTGGCGGCAACAATACAAAACATTAAAGGAGGTCCCAAAATCCAACCTGAAACCAAACTGTCGTTAGAAAATCAAATCGTACAAAAATGTAGCCTACAAATTCAAATGAATTAACTACGAAATCAAAAAGACATGGAGTGAGAGAGTGTTTTTGTCTGTATACGAAACTTATGCAGATCTTTTATGAAAATGTTAAAAATGCAAACATATAATTAGCGCCTCTTTTTTTATTTTTATTTTTTTGTAGAACACCATTGATGTAAACATTACGATTTTTTCAGAAGTCGAATCTTGACGCAATTTTTTTATTTGCTTGTGTATATAAAAAACTTAGTAGATCTGAATTAGATTAGAGGATATTTCTTGATTTTTAAGAATGTTTACGTATTTTCCCTAATCAAAAATTCTAAAAACATTGAGCAATTTCTCGATGAAAAGACCATGTTAGAATAGACCATTGTGAGCCGTCCCTACTAAACTCAAAGGATTTAACATTACCTGCCAGTTACAAAAAAGAAATAAATAAATCCATTCAATGTCACGTCGTGATTTGTGCTGGAGAGTTTTATTATTCCTTTCATCTTCTGTAGTCTTCGTAATTCAGATTCAATTATGCAGGGATCTTCCTTTTATATAGTCGAAATCCTCTTAGGTCTAGCCCGTGGCACTTGTTTTAAAAAATTAATCTGCAAACAAACTAATTAGATCAACAAATATCACGTCCGCAGCACACACTTCCCTCCTCCTCCCCTCCTCCTCCTCCCCCTCCTCCTCCATGTGTGATTGTCTAAAAGTAGCTGGCTGTGACTTTCTCGCTCTTCTTCCTCGCAAATTGCGTTGTGCATCTGCATTTGTCGACCTTCCTCTCTCAGTCTCTCTTCTTTTTTTCTGTGCAGATGTCAGGTCACTTTAAATTAGGTCAACGCACTCGGAGCGTCTGTTCTCTCCCTCCGTTTCAATTGCACTTCTTTTTTGACATGCTCCATGAATTCCCTCCTCTAATGTAACACCCCTTCCCCCCTTCTCCTCCTCCTCCTCGTCTTTCTGCATCTCCCATCACTCTGTAATTTCCTTAACTGTGCCTTTCTTCTAGCCTTTTTTTTTTCGTTCTCCCAATTTCTCCTGGTTTTTGCCCTCCCCTTTTCCCAGCCTCTCCCCCACTGGCTCCTCTGAAGATGTCATTTTGTAGTTGCCGTTCCCTAACAAGAAATCATTGTGTTTCCCTGGGGAGGCTGTGATGGATGGATGTGGGAGAGGTGGGGGGGTGGGGGCGCCTAGTCCTGCTTTCTGGAAAGGACGCAGCCTGTTATTCACTTAAAGGGACAGTGGAACCAAAAATTTAAATATGCACACCCTCATAGGGCCAGGCAATATGGGAAAAATCAGACTTAACAATACAGGTCATTTCATGTCTTAATATTGATATAATAAATTTGAGTTGTTTTATTATAATTTTATTTTATATTTAGTTATTTTATTTTGTTTTATATTTATTTATATATATTTTAAAAAAAAATTGTTTGTTTTATTTTTTTATCTTTTATTCTTCATTTCTATTCTATTTATTTATATAGTTTTATTTTTTATTTATTTATTTATTTTATTTATAATTTTTTTATTTTATAATAATTTTATAATATCTATTTTTATTATTTTATTTTGTTTTTTTACATTTATCTTCTAAATTTCATTTTTTATAATTGTTATTTTATATCTATTTTTTGTTTATTTATTTTTATTTTTATTATATTTTTTTATTTATTGTAGTCATTTAATTTAGTTATTTTATATTTCTTTATTTTATTATTTTATATTTATTTTATAAGCTTTATTTATTATTAAAGCATACAGGCTGAAATAACAATATAATTACATGTATCAATACAACCCCCAACATAAAATTTAGGATTTTACTTAGCAAAATTTTATGTATCGCCATGCTATTATTTATGATTCTGTCTCCATGGGGTATACAATTTAGGGGGTGGGTAAACATTTCTACAGCATATTATCACAATTGTTTTAAACGGCAATACCTTATTGATATACAGACGTTTATATATATATATATATATATATATATATATATATATATATATATATATTCAATAAAATAATTTAGGTGAATAATAAAATCAATGTCTTTGCAGACTACTAGATAGTGTAGTCTCCCTTAGTATATAGTGAGTTAGTAAAATAAAGATAGCGGCATCATTTGTGTTTATTTAATACATAATTTGACAATTTGAAGTTCAAAATGGGTAATAAATTGCAAAATAGAGTTTTTAATATTTTTTTTAATTTAATATTTATAATTCATTTCGTTTAAGTTTGACATTTTCTATTGCGAGTATTAGTCATTTATTACTTCAGTAATTTTCACCTTTTATTTTGGTTGATAAACATTTTTTGATTTAGGATTTAAATATTTTACGTTATCATTTACAATTTTTATTCACAAATCTGCAAGTGTCCCCAAAAATTCTGTGAATTATTACCTAAATTCTACTCATTCATAGCACAAACCTATTGTGTGACTTTAAATCTAACACCACTTGTAAGGGCGACCGTAATACTCTTCAAAAACATATTTCACAGAATAAAATGGTATCATCATGGTTTTGGGAAAACATCAAAAGCAAGTCATTTGTGAGGGAAACTTTGCAAATATAACAGTCAATTTATACTTGTGGGCAAAATATCCAACAGTGAGGTGAGGATTCCCCTTAGCGTGGGATGATCTCTTGTTTGGCTTGTTGGTAAATGATTACACTGGCTTTAATGCGACCCATAGCACCTTCTCAAAAGATAGAGCAGTGACCTCCAGAAAGGCGGTGCGCAGGGGGAGGCGTCGCTCCCTTTCGGCTGGACCGCAGCAGCAGATGCCGGGCATGAATATTTCAGATATCTCCTCTCCTCGCTGCACAACAATTAGCATCAACCAGATGTGGTGGACTGAAATATTTACTAGCTGTGTGAGCCGAGGTAGCAGGTTACACCCATGCCATGTCTTGGTTTGGTTGATTCGGTTCAGATTGGACTGAATTCGAAACCATCGCTGAAGTAGGTTAGATATCACTGAGCGTCGTTACATGCACACCAATATGCTGACAACTCGTAATATAACTTTTCATAATAATCCGTAAATAAGTATCTGTTGATTAACAGGTTGAGTGTTTCATGATTTATGGTTATGAATTGCACTATAGGACATCGATCCTCCTGTTGATGTTTGTTGAAAATATTTCTGTGTAGTTTAACAAAGTGAACATTATTGTATGGAGTCAGATCAGTCACAAAAGAAATAATTTACAAAATATTTTTACATCCACAGGATAATCCAGATGTACAAAATGCAATTTTTAAATTCAAAACACAATTCATTAATGCAACACAGTTTAAAAAACAAATTCAAGATTTGTCTATGTTATGAATTGTGTTTTGAATTTACGAATTGCGTTTGTGTATTTACGAATCGTGTTTTCAATTCATGAATTGGGTTTGTGTATGTTGTGAATGGTGTTTTGAATTTACGAATTGGATTTGTGTATTTTGAATTTACGTATTGAATTTGTTTATTTTTGAATCAGGTTTGAATTTATGAATTGAATTTGTGTATTTCTATATAGTGTTTTGAATTTGTGAACTAGATTTGTGGATTTTCGAATCGTGTTTGGAATTTAAAATTTAGATTTGTGTGTTTTGAATTTATAAATTGAATTTGTGGGTTTACAAATTGTGTTACTTGCGAACTGGACTTTGTAAATGTGACTTGTGCTGTAGATGTATGAATTATATTATGTAAATGTATTATTTTTAAGACTGATCTGGCTCCATATTATGGACATTATTTAACTAAACATATACAATATATTGTCTATGGAATGATATAGAGAAACTGTATAAAATAAATAGTACTGGCAGTTTATTACCAGTTTTTAATAAAGTAATTTACAACAATTTAGTCAATATATCCCTTTGATCTGTTAAAATATCAATAAAACTAACTCTTTCAAACTTTTCAACATCAAAAGCTGTTGGAGGAAAAATCAAGGTCCCATAATGCAATTCAAAAGTGGATATAACTGAAAAAAAAAAAAAACGTCACAATCACAAAATATGGAAAGCGTTTATTTACAGATATGCTTTGGAGTGTAATCTGTTGTAATTTTACATTCAAACCAGTTGCCTGCCAATGTAAGCAACCCATACTTTATTAATAAATCAGTTTATGGCAAAACATAATAATAATGCCCTGTTGAAGACATGGTTCACCCAATTAAAATAATTGTATAATTTCATTTCATTTCATTGTATCATCACCAAAGTGCTTTCAAACCTTTTTTTTTTTTTTTTTTTGAGCAATGTTGCGTCAGTAGTTTTTTGTGTTTTAAACAGGTTGAGATTGAGTAAATGATTATTTTGAAATAACATTTGGATCAACTGTCCCTTTAAATAAATGAAAAAAATTCCATGTCAGCAGAAATTGTATGCTTCATATACGATCCTCTCAGGATTTAGAATTTTAATTAAAGCATTTCTGCTTCTGCTGCATGAGATGAGTTCACTTTCTTATAATTCTTTAGGACAACAAAGCCTCTGAGTTTACATTGAATTTTCTTTTCTTTTACAGCAAATCATTTGCTCTGTCTGAATGTGCTCTAATCTGCATCAAGCACATAATTCTGTCACACATATCTCACCAACAGTTCAATAAGTTATCATGGCATGTTAAAACGTTCACTTGCTAGGCTCAATTGACCTAATGTGAGAAAATCTAAATGAGACAATTCATTGATAAAGCAAAAGAAGTTAATGCTTTTACATGTATTGTTGGATTATTAAACATGTAAATGCACTCGGTCTCTTAAAAGTCTGAGTGTTCATGGGCGGCCTGATGCATTGTTCACTCAGCAACAATAAAATAAATAGACCATTAAAAAGCGTGTAAACAAAAACAATGGTCCCATCGTATTTCCTGTTTTACATTTTGAATTTCTAGAGCTTCCGAGAATCTAAAAAGAGCCACATATTGATAAATAATGCTATGATCGCTGTTAAGTTATGATTGAATTGCCTCTTGTTACAGTTATGAAATAGTTTGATAACAAGCACAAAATGTTCATGGGTCAATGACATGACCACATTAAAATGGTCTATAAAAGAACACTTTAGTTTAAATATTAATTCCCATTATTATCTATTACCTGCTTATTATTAAGATAATAGATGCTTATTAGTACTTATACAACATGATCTTTCTCTTCATCCCTAATTTGAAAACATAACTGCAACCTTACTAACTATTAATAAGCAGCAAATGAGTAGTTTGAGCTGTAAAGTCTTAGTTAATGGTTTATTACTTTTGATAATTGTAACCAAAATTGTGATGGTTAACAAAACAACAGCTTTCGTTGATTTAATAGTGCAAATAATCTGTTTTCAGGCTAAATCTGCACACAAGGAACTCACTGGCTATTTTAAGTCCTAGTAAGAGAAGTAGGATATTTATAGATTTACATTTCCTTACTCCTTAAAAACAAAGATAAGTAATGTTGCCAGTATCCTAGAGCTGGCTCTCTGCAACTCGCATAGTCGCCCACTGAAACCAAGTAGGGCTGAACCTGGTCAGTACCTGGATGAGAGACCACATAGGAAAGCTATTTGTTGCCAGAAGTGGTGTTAGTGAGACCAGCAGGGGGCGCTTAACCTGTTTTCTGTGTGGGTCCTAATGCCCCAGTATAGTGGAGGGTACTTTATACTGCTCAGTAATCTGTCTTTCAGTTAAGACAGTAAACCATGGTCCTGACTTTCTGTGTTTGTTAAAAATCCCAGGATGTCCTTCGAAAAAGAGTAGGGGTTTAACCCTGGCCTATGTCCATCATAGCCTCCTAACCATCCCCATATCATAATTGGCTTCATCAGTCTGTCTCCTCTCCACTAATAAGCTGGTGTGTGGTGCACGGTCTGGCGCAATATGGTGGATGCTGCACACTGGTGGTGGATGAGGAGATTCTCGCCAATTTGTAGAGCGCTTTGAGTGTCCAGAAAAGCACTGCATAACTGTAAGGAATTATTATTATTATCAGAGGTATCGGCAAGGCAGTGGCGCAGTAGATAGTGCTGTCGCCTCACAGCAGGAAGGTCGCTGGGTCGCTGGTTTGAACCTCGGCTCAGTTGGCGTTTCTGTGTGGAGTTTGCATGTTCTCCCTGCCTTCGCATGGGTTTCCTCCGGGTGCTCCGGTTTCCCCCACAGTCCAAAGACATGCGGTACAGGTGAATTGGGTAGGCTAAATTGTCCGTAGTGTATGAGTGTGTGTGTGAATTTGTGTGTGGATGTTTCCCAGAGATGGGTTGTGGCCGGAAGGGCATCCACTGCGTAAAAACTTGCCGAATAAGTTGGCGGTTCATTCCGCTGTGGCGACCTCGGATTAATAAAGGGACTAAGGAATGAAAGAATTATCAGAGGTCAGTGCGCCAAAAGAGCTGTGGTCACCTTGAGTTTGAGTCCTGACTCCAATAGCCAATCTAGGCTACAAACGTGTAATATTCAAAAAATGTTTATAAACACGTGAAAATGAAATATGTTTTTATTTGCTTTCCTTTCCTCCTGTGCTCTTCATATCTGTGCAGACGGAGATCGCCAAGCGGCTGAATGTGATTTGTGCCCAGCTCATTCCATTCCTGTCACAGGAGGTGAGACGAGACCAACACACACACACAGTGCCCAGCTACACATCATGACTCTCACACACACGCCACGTTCAGATGCTCTGTGATTGATAATTCACTCTCTCTCGCACACACACACACACACACATACACACACACACACACACACACACTTTTCTCATATTTCCTCACATAGTCTCTCATTCAGATGCCTCTGGGAAGACTATTGTTATTCTTGTAAACCCGCTTCCACAAAAAAAAACCGCTTACGGTTTGCCCAGAGCTTTTCCTGACTGAAGAAAAACAACTTCCCCCTCCTGTTTTAAGTGTGTGTGTGTGTATTCATACAAAAACACTTTAGAAAACTGTGCACCACACAAAGACACACACTAGGGTGGCCATCTGCCTTGTTTTGCCGCTTGTTGTTTGTTTATCACTGACGGACTTTTTTTTTTTGACCTCCGTCCATAGCACCAGCAGCAGGTGGTCCAGGCCATGGAGCGCGCCAAACAGGTGACTATGGGGGAGTTGAATGCGTCGATAGGGGTACGTGGACTCCCCCCTCTGCCTCCCACAGTGTGTACATCCATCTTTTCATCTTTTTTTTTATTATTTAAGACTTTTCCCCTTGAGTTGTCATTGCGGTTTTCCTGTTTGGTTTGATTTTGTTTTTATTTGAGAGTCCAAATAGTTTAGTCGTTTGGCTGAACGGCTAGTTAAATCGATTAAATTGATTGTTCACCCAAAATATACCTATAAGCCTCAAGTGATTCCAAACCTTTGATATATACGTTATTTTTTCTGTTAAATGGTATATAATGAAAGAATGTTGGAAACTGGTAGTCATTGACCTCTATGGTAGTCATAGTTCCTATAGATGAACTGCAGGAACGGGTGGGACTAAATTTCTTCCGACTTCAGAGTAGTATCATTAGCTATGTTTCCATCCACCTATTTTCATGCACATTTTGGAAATACATGTAAAAAACGGTTGAAGGAAACGCCAAGATGCGCATACGTTTTGAAAAAGTGAATAAAAACGTATTTGAATAACTGAGAAGGATAAACTTTATTTGTTAACAAAAGATGCAATGTAAACTACCATGTAAACACTTTCACCAAACAAATCCCATTATGTGCAATAAAAAAAGTGAAGTGATTTTGTTATCAGAGATCATGTGTAAAATTTAAGTGACTGGACAAACCAGCAGGCTGAGCACACTGTAAAACATCTGAAATGTTGTTTTGATTATTCCAAAATGCCTTAACCGTTTCAGTATTAGTTTTATTATATAATTAATTACCTCCAGAATCGTTAAGAGCATTTGTGATCAGCATCTCACTCCTTCAAATGCCACCACGTGTTCATTTCGTGTCAGCATACTGTCTTCCAAGGTGTTCATTTATTATATAAAGAAAAGATTCACGCAGCTTCTCCTACCGCAGCAAATTCCTTTTTTTTTTATATTTTGCGCCAGTTAATCAGGAAGTGACTGTTTTGTTCTCTTTGACTTGTTGGATGGAAACGCGCATCTTTTATGCGGTATTCCACTTTTGCATATAAATTTAATTAACATTTTTGGATGGAAAAATAGCTAGTGAAGTAGGTGAACTGTCACTGACCGAACACATGCCATTTGAAATACATGCACAGTACTGTAAAGTCATAGACAGGCAGGAAGGAAAATTATGACTTAAAGCAAAAACACAGCCCAATTACTTGGTACTTCCCTTACAGATGTCTGTCAGCTTACATCACTGCAGAGTTTCTTGTGACAGTGTGAATGAAACCAGGAAAATGGCCCTAGGGGAAAAGAATCAGTTCCAGGGGGGCCTGCCCTGTGGCAAGTTTTTATAACAACCTGGTGTAAATCCCCCTCATGTCTCCAGATATGTATAAAAAGAACAGAAAAAGGCCTTTGTATGACTAGTACTCAATTTGTGAAGCTTTCGTAAGCCATATGATACTTGTGTTTCAAAATCTTTTGTTGGAATTTTCAAATCTTACATAAACCTAATGACTATGGGCTAGTACAGGGGTGCTTAACCCTGTTCCTGAAGATCTACCTTCCTGCAGAGTTCAGCTCAAACACACATGAACCAATTAATTAGGACCTGAACAGCACTTGATAACTACAGGCAAGTGTGTTTGATATGGGTTGCAACTGAAATCTGCAGGACAGTAGATCTCCAGGAACAGGGTCGAGCACCTCGGAGCTAGTAAGTTTTAAGTGGGTTTGGACTGATGTAGTATGGAAAGTGTTAGCAGAGTAGCGGTTTGGAAAAATATGAAGGTGCGTAAATGGACTTTTTTGCGCTTCATTTAGTTTGGAAAAAACTTTCTGTATTTTTATTTGCTTTACATTTTTATTTTTCACTCGGCCATCACCCGCTTCAGCTCAAGTGATTTTAATTTCCCTTTATTTTGCCATGCTCATTAGTGAACGCTGTAGCAGTGCTGCTCCCCAACCCATCCGTTAGAGCAGGTCGACACCAGTGCAAGGAGCTTCCCCGCTCCCGGGACACTGGGAATGGGTCATGAATGCATTCCCTTTGTAACAGCCTCTTTGGCTGTGGTGCACTTCCAAGACTTAACTGTGTTGTGTGTTTTTCTCTCTCTCTCTTTCCTCTCATCTCTCTCTCCTCCTCCTCATGCTCTCTTCATTTCCTCTGGCTATCTGTTTCTTCACTCCACTTCCATCTCGGCCTCTGTGTCGCTCTCTTTTATCTCCCACACTCCCTTCATCTTTCCCCCCCCCCCTCTCTCTGACCCCACCTCCCTTTCGTCATTCCTCCATCGTCCTCTTCCTCTTGCTCCCTCTAGCAACAGCTGCAGGCCCAGCACCTTTCTCAGCATGCTGCCCAGGGGTTACCCATGGCCCCTCACCCCTCCGGCTTGCCTCACCCAGGATTGGCTTTGGGGGGCGGCTCCGGGCTGCTGGCCCTTTCTGGAGCTCTCGGGGCCCAGTTGGCCTCTAAAGACGAGCGAGCCCATTTGGAGGCCGTGGCAGCGGCGGCCGCAGCAGAGCACCACAGAGGTATAACAAATAAAATCGTACTGACATTTTACCTTAACATAGTGCAGTTATAATAGATGATTGCTGGGAATGCATAATGGAATCAAACTTTCAGAGTGAGCACACAATGCCAAGAACAGTTGTTGTCCAATTAATGCACAAGTGTCCAGTCCTGCACCTGGTGGGCAAACGTCCTGCAAAATTTAGCTTTAACACACTTACCTGGAAATTTGTTGCGACCATGGCCCTTCGGGAGCAAGAATGGACACAGCTGAATTGATTTTATACATGTATGCTAGCCAAAGCTGTAGTGTTAACTTTGGAAGGCTTGTTGCAAAAGTTTCAGTCTCATTTCAGTGAAATTTCTTGTGAATTTCTGTGGAAAGCAATACTTGCTGCAGAGTTCACTCTAAAGTCACTTTTAGGCCCAATCCCAATTCTATCCCTTAGACCTTCCCCTTACCCCTACATTCATAACGCTGTTCGTGTTTTACCATAATGCAAAAAAAAACCAAAAAAAAAAAAAAACGCTAAAATAAAAACCGCAAAATTTTACTGTCCATAAACCATAATAATAACTCCTGTATAGCAGTTCCAAAACATTCTGTCACTCGAATACCCTGTCAGAAAAGTATATTGGCTGGGAATGAGCTTTTCACAGCTGCTATAATTTTAATGTTGTTTTCGCGAGTTTACATTGATGTATATATCCGCGGTGTAAATACACAGTACAGCTACAATCTTATTGCCACATTATATTGTTATGATAGATTTGTATTGTTGCCTTCAGGGATTTTCTGAAGATAAATACCCAAAAAACGCAACTTTAATAACTACAACAGTCGTGATTGTCTATCTCATATGTAGAAAGAGATCGTGATGACATATGATGACGTGTGCAGGTGCTGTAGTGCTGTACTATTTCTTACATTTAGAACCCTTTTCTTACATTTCGAAGCCCTTACTCTTCACACTCTGTTTCACGGGCCAAGGGGAAGGGGTAGGGGTACACAAATTTAATTGGGATTGGGCCTTAAACTCAGCAGCTTTTTATTAGTCACCACGACAAAACTGCATAACCTAAATGTGAGCAAAATCTGCCAACATAAAATTTTTGCCCTTACATACCATACTGTCAGTACTCACGTAACATCAACAAGGCAACATATGCTGTTATGTAAACTCTACTCTTAAATGCCAACCAGTTAATCTTTAAAGTTCTTGTATAGACCCTTTTCACATTTCTGGTTTCCTCCATGACGGAACTCCCCATAGTTGGGTTACCTTAGAGAGCTGTGAATGGGACAGTATCACAAATACATTTTTTGCATTACAATTAGCTTCAATAACAAAAGAAAAACTCCATGATAGTGTTATTTTAAAAAAGTGTGAGACTGATAAAGGCAGCCAGAGCAGAGAAACTATGCCAACTTTACTGTCCTGTCCATAGATGCTGCATTAGAAAGGCCATGCATAAGCATTAACTATTTTTTGTAGCAAGATGATGTAATACAAAGTATAAATTCATAATACATACATTTTAAAACAAATCTAAGTAGCTGAGACAACATCACTGTCTTGTGAAAAGGGTCCACTTCAACAATAGGACATGACAGGGTGGGAAGTGGAGGATTGTGCTTGGTATGATTAGCAGTGGGCTAATTCAAAGCGTTGTTTTGTCTGTTGTAGTGTCAGTTTTGTCTGACTGTCATAATCACATTGTTTGTTTTTTGCTTTGTTTTGACTGGCCGCGGGGACGTTTACCTGCTCTTCCCATGATCCCCATAGACCGTGAACCTGGACCAGTGAGTATCTGTAGTATCTGTCTTTTATCCCTCTCTCTCTGTCTCTCACTCTGACTCTTTCTAGTTGAGTTCTCCTCAGTGCAGACTGTCATGCATTAGGCTTCTCTATTGCCTGTGGGTCCAGCAGTTATGGAGCTGATTTGATTTATCCCTCGTCTCCTACATCATTATCTCTTTCTTCTCGCTGACACACACACACACACACACACACACACACACATACATACACGCACATCCTCTGTCTCTCACTCCAGCGTTCTTCCTTTCCACTCTCATTTTTTCATCTTACTCCTCTTTTCCCAGAGTTCACTCTCAAACGGAGACAAAGGGAGGTCCTCAGACTACCTCAGCAATGGAAAAAAGAGAAAAGCAGATGAGAAGGAGTTTATGACCGACTATGTAAGCGTTCTTCCCGTGTTAAATTTGCATCCTTTTATGAATCATGATTTGAGAACACGCACAACTTTGAAGCATTTTCTCTTTCAGGGCAGCGACGCGGAAAAGAGTGATGACAATTTGGTTGTTGATGAGGTTGGTTTGTGTTAAAGAGAGAACTCCAAAACAAGGTTACTCGTGTCTTTCCCTGATTAATCCATCATGTGCTTTGTGTTCCCTCAGGACCCTTCTTCGCCAAGAAGCGTGCAGTCGTACTCCTCAAGAGAGAACGGATTAGATAAACTTCCCCCTTCCCGTAAGGAGCCTCTGCCCCAGGCCAGTCCGACCTCGCTGGCTTCCTCCAGCAGTGCTGCTTCCCCTTCACGCAGCAAGGAGCCTCCACCGGTACATATATATTACTCAGAAATGCTTGCAAGAGTGTTCATTTTCTAAATGAGCAGTGCATTTGTATAATATTAGTCCCTCCAGGATTTCACAAAAAAATCAAATGTTTTCGACTGGGTGGAGTTATTGCTAAATTTGCTGCAAATTTTGCACCATTTCTTTTTTTGCTTTTGAAAATACACAAATGTGCATGTCTTCTTTATCATTTTTTACATCGAGAGTCATTGATCACTAAGATTTCTATAAAAGAATCAGAGAAACTATTCTTGATCTAACAAATATTTGACAATGAAACCAAATGAGCCAGTTTCTGTGCCCGACGATTGGGTTGTTGTGGACGTAACCTTCGATCCCCACCATTTCCACAATGCACCGACTCCTTACGGCTCCCCTGCAGATCTCGGATACAAGTGGCTGAAATGAGTTTTCTTTGCAAGGTGGGAGGGCGCACCCTTATAGGAGCTCTGCCACACTGGAGGAGCTAGGAGTAGAGCCGCTGCTTCTCCACATGGAGAGAAGTCAGATGAGGTGGCGTTTTAAATCTGTTTCAGATGCCTTCTGGACGCCAACCTAGGGAGGTGTTCCAGGCATTCCTAACTGGGAGGAGTCTCTATGTCTCTTGGCTGGCCTGGGAACGCCACAGGATCCCCTCGGAAGTGTCTGGGGAGAGAGAAGTCTGGGGTTCTCTGCTGCCTTTACGACCCGGAGGCGGAAAAGTGGATGAAAATAAATTAATGAATGAAACCAATTGTTTGAAAATAAATACTAATTTAGTTTATCGATTATTTGAATGCGTTGATGGAATAAATTGTGTGTGTGTGTTGAAGATAAGGCTACAACAGATGAGTTTATACTATATATATATATATATATATATATATATATATATATATATATATATATATATATATATATATAGTAGATTAGCAGTTTAGTTCAAACAGGTTTTGAATGCATGTTGCGAAACACACCTTGTGAAAAGCGTCCTGAATGCCCAACATATGCTGGAAAATCTGCAGCAATTTTACAAAAATTTGCTTGAGTTTGCCTTAAATTCTTTGTGGAATTTCGAAATCCTGGATGGTCTGTAATTTCAAACAACCATTTTACAAACTCTAGAGTCCTGCAATGCCCTTCATTTGCCGGAGTGTCTTCCTCCAGCAAAAAACAAACTCTCTTTTATATCAAAGCTTGTTCCTCGAATAAAATTGTTAGAATTGTAAAACTGGCACGCCAGAAATTTGAACAGTCCTAAATGGCAAAGATATGCAGCAATTTTACAAAAATTAGCTTGAGTTCGCCTACAATTCTTTGTGAAATTTCAAAATCCTGGATGGTCTATAACATCAAACAAGTTTTCCCTCCCCCAAACTGTAGATTCTTGCAATGTCTTTCATTTACCAAAGTGTCTTTCTCCAGCAAAAAACAAACTCTCTTCTATATCAAAGCTTGTTCCTCGTCTTGCTTTTGCTGTCAGTTTTCTAAAACTGCAAAGACTGACAGTTCTCACTTGAGTTTCACTACCTCTGCTCTTTTTTTTTTTGAGCCCCATTGGCTATGTATGTTTCTTGAATAATTAATGTGTGCAAATGCGTTCCCTAACCTTGCAGAGAGAGAAGTCCAGCACTCCAGGGATGAAGCCTGGAACGCCCATGTCCCAGGAGTCGTCCACTCCAGGCCCCAGCGTTCCTCCACAGTTTCGTCCTGTTCCTGGGAAACCAGGGGTTGACCCTCTTGGTAAGATCTTGTTAAGCTGATAGTCTTTGAGTGAACGTAGAGAGGGTTTAGTTCAACCTGGTTTGAAAGTCTTTATTCAGGGTTGACAGCTAGTCAGCCAGCAGAGGGCAGTAGTGGTCTTCCTCTTTCAGACAGGATGTCTTGTTTTATTTTAAATGTATCATGGTTCTGAGCCCGTGTCCTTGGAGGCTGTGTAATTGTTTTAGCATTCTTGGGAATGATATTAATGGGTCAATGACATGACACTCATCTCTTTCTGACAGTATCTATTCATTTATTCCAAAGTGCAATTCATGCATACAATGACTTGATTACGCCTCTTCTGTTATGGGCATGTTTTTAATATCTGAATTC